TGGGAGCCTCTTGATGGCCTCCAGGGGCGTCCTGAGAGCCTCTCAGGCCACCTCGAAATGTCGCGCTCTTCGGGCCCTCTTTGGTTGCTCTTGGGGCTCTCTCGGGGCGCTCTCGAGGCCCTCTTGACTTATCTGGGGAGCCTCCTGGGCCGTCTCTGGGCTTTCTTTTTTTACAACGTGGACAAACGGAGGTCTCGATCCCTTCCCGGCAGGGCCACAACGAGAGCGTGTTCGAAAGACGATGCTGGAAGTGTCTAAAGTTCACATGTTTTCAGACATGTCTGTGTCAGACATTGGGAACTATTCAGCCAGCCGCCAAAGTAGGCCAATGTGAAAAGTCAATATCAGGGAGAGCCGCGCAAGCGCCTCGCACAGCAACGGTTGAGGCACCTCACGGGGCACAAATTTCTCGTCCAAGACGATGCAAACTCGCCGGCGAGTTGAAATAAACCAAATGAAAACGTAGGGTAGGCATGCATAGTTGTTCCGAGCTTTTGAAGCGGGGTACCTGCAGCAATTGCAAGTCCTAACTCGCTTGCAAGCTCCCCTGCGACATTCGAGACAACGGTGGCTCCTAGAATCTTCCCACCACCGAAAGCAGTCGCGGGTCGATGGATAATCTTGATAAAGCCTCGTGTGTCACCTTCGCACACCGCTCGGTCGATGTCCACACTCTGTCGCACAGAACACTGAATGGCATCCCCGTGTAACTCTCTCGCTTCTGCCTCTGTGAGCCCGACACTTGCGACTTCTGGGTGCGTGAAGGTGCATCGTGGACAAGAGCTGTTAGGCGGATTCACATGCACACCCCCGAAAGGCAAGACGAACGCATTGAAGGCAGCAAGTCCACCCTGGAAGCCGGCAAGATGCGTGAACTGCAACCCACCAAGGCAGTCTCCAACAGCGTAGATGTGAGCAGCGGAGCTCTGAAGCTTGCCATTGACATGAATCCCCTTTCCAACATCATACTTCACTCCGGCAGCCTCCAAGTTGAGCGCCTCCAGACCTTTGGGCTTTCTACCCGAGGCGATGAGCAGCACATCCCCCTCAACATTCTGCCCAGACGATGTCTGCACCAAGATACCTGAAGCAACCTTCTTCACCTCCTCCGCACGCCCATCTACAAAACTGACACCATCGTCCGCAAAAGCTTGGCGCATAACAGCACGGACGTCGTTTCCTTCCAGTGGTAGCATTGACCCAACCAGCGACACGCTGGAACCCAAGCGAGCGAAGGCTTGAGCAAGTTCGCAGCCGATCGGGCCTCCACCCACAACGATGAGCCTGTTTGGCAGAGCTGGTATATCAAAAATTGTTTCATATGTCTTATATTGGACAGCGTCCAACCCTCTAATAGCTGGAATGGCGGGACCTGCACCTGTACAAACGAAAAATTTGTCTGCAGTGACCATGCCACGAACATGCGCTGATCCACCTCCAGGAGTCAGGGTGAGTACAAGCGTGTTGGGATCTTGGAAGGAGGCAGACCTACCCAAGACAACTTCGACACCTTCTGCCTTCAAGACCTCAGGGCTGTCGTCTTTCTGGTAGATAAACTCCTGGCACGACTTGAGGTGACGCTGCACAACTCCCCAATCAACTTTGATCGCCTTCGGGTCGATACCCATTACACCGAATTTGGCCGCTTCCCGGGCATCGGTGGCTGCCCGAGCACAACGAATGAGCGCTTTCGATGGCACACATCCAAACCATGTGCAATCGCCTCCAAGACGTTGGAGCTTCTCAACCAAGAGGACGCGAGCTCCATACTTGGCAGCAGATTTGGCCGCGGTCAAGCCACCAGATCCGGAGCCAATGACCACCGCATCATAATGTGCGTGTCTGGGCGAGAGCAGACTTTTTCGCGAGCCACCTTCTATATCACTGTTTTCGTCCAGATCATCCGTGCTTCCCTCGAGATCGTAACCCAGACAGGCCATGGCTGACATGGTAAGCCTTGCGAACCTCCCTGCGCACCTGCACAGCAATACATGACCTTGAGCCAAAATGGCTACGGAAGGGCCGTCTCTGGGCTTTCTTGGGAGCCTCTTCGGCCGTCTTGGAGCGATCTGAAGGGCCTCTGACGCGGTCCGGGACCATGGGGAGGTGGAACATGGGAGAGCGCAAGAATGCTTCAAAAACCAATAGAAAATTGATGATCTTCGGCTTCTGGGGCCCTTTGGAGGGGCCTCTGGAGGCGCTCCTGGGGCGTTTTGGCGGCGTCGTCGGCCGTCCTGAGGCCATCTTCGGCGTGTCTGGGGCCTCTGGGGGCTGTCTTTGGGCGTCGTGGGAACCCAGGAATCATGTTCCCGGAAAGGCTTCCGGGAACATGATTTCGAACGAGGCCCTCTTGGGCCTCCCTGAGGCCGTCTTGGGGGCCTCCTGGGCTGGCTTTGGGGCCTCTTGGGCCGTCTCGGGGGGTTCCGTGAGCCCCACAGGACGACCCTTTTGGGCCGTCGTGGGCCCTCTTGGGTCTCTCTTGGGCTGTCTTGGGGCTCCTCGGGAGCGTCTGGGGCACTGCGAAGACGAAGCAAGGGAGTATGCTGAATATGTATGTTTTACTACACTACAGGGACGGGCTGATTTTTGCCGTCTGGAGGCCCTCTTGGGGCCCTATTCGGACATCTTGAAGCCATCTCGGGCCCTCTAGGGCCTCGCTAAGGCTGTCCTGGGGCCCCCTAGGGGTCGAAGGGGCCCTGGGAGCCCAGAAGCCATGTTCCCGGAGAGGCTTCCGGGAACATGATTCCGAACGGGGCCCTCTTGGGCCTCCCTGGGGCCGTCTTGGGGGTCTCCTGGGCCGATTTCGGGGCCTCTTGGGCCGTCTTGGGAGGTTCCGTGAGCCCCACAGGCCGACCCTTTTGGGCCGTCGTGGGCCCTCTTGGATCTCTCTTGGGCTGTCTTGGGGCTCCGCGGGAGCGAGTATGCTGAAAATGTACGTTTTACAAAGGAAATGGGCCGATTTGTGCCTCTTGAAGGCCCTCTTGGGGCCCTCTTCGGTCATCTTCAAGTCATCTCGGGCCCTCCTGGGCCTCGCTGAAGCTGTCATGGGGTTCAGTGGGGGGCCCTGGGGGCCCGGAAGTAATGTGTTCATTCTTGTTTTCCAGAGAAATGCTGAGGCGATGACAACATGTCGCGTGGGCAGTTTGTCCCACACAACCCGCAGAGAACGCAACAATTAAATAGGCCTTGGGCTGGCGAGGGCAGAAGCGATGGCTACAGAGCGAGAAAAGCGGACATCTGAAATGAACAATACCGTGCACTGCTATGTTCATTCTTGTTTTCCAGAGAAATGCTGAGGCGATGACAACATGTCGCGTGGGCAATTTGTCCCACACAACCCATCTTCATGAATAAACCCCGTCCTCAAGCAATGTACTGGACTACCGCATCAAATTCCAGAGGCGGCCAGCCCGCAAGGACACGTAGCTGTGAGAAAGTTCTCGAGCGAGCACGAAGCACAGGCGCGGGGGGTAGGACGCTTTCAGATGAGTAAGAAAGCCGGCGTTGGACTTTCCTGACAAAACAAGGTGCGGTTTTCCCGAAAACGTGCAGACTCCCCTACCTTTACAGCGCCACGTGTACAGCTCTGGCGGAACAGATATATTGGCGAGAGCCATACGAGTGCGAGCACGAAAAGGGCGGCCAGCGCCGCAATAATCAAAGACAACAGTCTGGACATTAGCGTGAGAATTGAAACGCTGGCGGCTAGGCAGAAGCCATAGCAGACTAGACGCAGGATTCTCCTCTCCAGCTGGCAGCTGACGTCTCAGGGCGATGCCCAGCAGGAGCGCGATTCTGTCGGCCAGCTTGTTTGAGGTAACGACATCGTGATAGTCGGCGCCCTCCAAGCCTGGCAGGCCTCGCAGGTGCTCCTTCGTCCGCAAGCGACGAGGCATAACGCTGCGAGGCGGAGCCCTGCGAGCCTGGGGCCACTTTTCACAAGGGCTGCCCGCGAACATGCCCCAGATGATACCGGACTCTAGCCAGCCCCGAAGAGCGCGGAAGACATCATCTTGCAGCGCACTCGGGGCCAAGGAGCACGTCAATCGAGACAACAGCATGCCCTCTCTTCTTCAGCTCCGAGGCGAGGCCGCCAGAGCCCGAGAAGAGGTCGAGGAACGCCCGCCGCTCGCCAAGGCGGCCGGCGCGGAGGGCAGCTCGTAGGCGCTGTCGAAGAGCCGCGGGGCGGCTGCCGCCCAGATCTCGCAGTTTGTCCTCTGGGCGTTGCTGAGGTTCCGCATGACCAGCGCCAGCCGCCCGGCCTTGTCGCACCTCCGGACAGACGAGGCCGCTCTCCACATTCCTCGCCTCTGCACCTCCAGCAGCGAGCGGCAGCCTTCGGCGCGGTCGCGCGTCGCGCCGCCGCGCCTCAGGCAGTGCGGCGAGAAGCCCAAACCGCCGAGCTTGAGGTACTGACAGGCAGCATGGAAGACGGCCAGGAGCTGCGGGTACGAGATCTGAAACAGCAGCTCGTCCTCGTGCCGAAGCCGCTGCAGCCGCACGGCCGCGCGCCCAATCCAGTGATGTCGCGGAAGGTCGAACGCAACTGTGGAATCGAACTCGCCCGTCTTGGAGCTGGTAGCCAGCTCCTCTGGATGCAGGATTAGGAGAGGGTGCTGCAGCACCCCGACCTCTTTGCACATGCCTGGCAGAAGCTGATTGGCCAGCAGGGTCGCGGCCTCCGACGGGCGCAGGTAGCACTCGAAGGCCACCAAGATGCACAGGCCCGAGTCCGGCTTCCCCATCGAGGCCAGCACGGCCGCCATCGCGAGCGCGAGCGCCCGCGGCGGCGGCGGGCGGGAGCGTCCCGGCTGGAGCCGCGTCCAGCCTGACAGCGACGCGTGCGCCGAGGGAAAGAGACGCCGAACGGGCCCCCCCAGCGCGGGCTCGCCCCACGCCAAGGCACAGAGGGTGCGCGAGAACGCCTCCCGGCCCATGCCGCGGTCGAAGGCCCACTCGGAGTAGTCCACCAGCGTCTCGTCCCATTGCACGGCAGTCCAACTCGGCAGCGCCAGCAGCCGGAGCCAACCCAAGAGCATGGTCAGCGCCCGCACGTACGAGAGCTCGGTGGCATGGCGCACCCGACGAGCCGCCAGTCGCGAGAGCCGCGGACACAGCCGCGCCCGCCGCGCGCAGATCTCTGCGGGCCTGTCGCTCAGCGGCGCCTGGGATGTCCAGCCCTGGCGGGAGCCCGAAGGGCCTGGCGGCCCGCGCCCGCCGCGCCAGGCGGAGGCGCGCCGGGTGGTCGGCGCCGGCCTGGGCTCCGCTGCATCGCGGGCGCGCTTGCCGTAGGCGGGGTTGACCCAGTAGGCCGTCGCTGGCATGGCCGTGCTCCCTCGAGCCGATGACTCCGGACGGAGGCCCAGCTTGATGCGTGCCTTCCTCCTCCAGGCCAGGGGGTGTGCTGCTCTGTCCGACGACGCGGTGCCTCCTAGCGCCTGGCATAAACCTGCGAGAGGGAGCGTCTCCCGGGTTGAGCTCTGATGGGATCCACCTGAACCTGAGCTGCATCCCAGAGGCGATTGAGATAGCGCAGATCTCCCGACAGACGACGTTGAGGGCAAAGTGTGCAGCTCTGCCCTTTTCACACGCGCAAACCACCCCGAGGTTGTCACCCAGGATGAGGTGCCGGCGTCCATGCAGCTGCGAATTGCGAGCAAGGCGCCGAACAGCCCAGCGCGCCCCCTCAGCCTCCAGGACGTGGATGGCCGCGGCGCGCCGCCAGCGACGGGCGGCTGCGACCGACCAAGGGTCAGCCAAGAGCCGCGCCGCCGGCACCTCCTCAAAGTGGGTCAGGGCGCCCTCCGCGGTGACGTCGGCCGCCGAGGCGTGCAGGAGCTGCTGTTCACCCAGCGTGTCCCTGGGTGCGTAGTCAGCTGTCAGGACCCCTCTGAAGCGGCTGCGCTCCGAGAGGCTGCCAACTCGCCGAACTTCATTGACGGGACACGGCTGTTCCACGACGCCAAACCCCCATGGCGAGGCGTCAGTGGCGGTGACTCGGTCGCACCAGGGGCGACTCAGCGAAGCGGTCACGCAGGGAAGTAACGTTCTGAACCAAGTGAGCTCCCGCTTCACCGACGGCCAGAGAGGCTGCCGCTTGTCCCGCGAGCGCCGGCAGAACTCGTAGATCGCGTGGAAGAGCGAGAGCACGTGCCGCTGCAGCATGACGGCCGAGGCGACGTGGCCCATCAGCCTCTCGAGCTCGCGCCCCGCGACGACACGCCCGGGCGCCAGTGCAAAATCGAGGCTGAACTTCAGCCGCCAAAACTTGCTGTGCGAAAGGCGCCAGGTGGCAGAGGGCTTGTGCAGCACGAAGCCGAGCAGGGTGCGCAGATCCCCGTCATCACGATCGAAGGAAGCTTGAATCCCCCGCTCACCCAGAGCTGCCAGCATGCGCTCCACCTCCAGAGCGGGGTCACCGCTGCCTGACGTGAAAACTGCGACGTTGTCGATGTACAGCATCTTGGCGGTGGCGCACTGAGCCCCGAGCGCAGGCGTGGGCACCTTGTCAGCGATCCAGGGCGCCTCCGGGCTGATGGCGCCCAGGACGTGGGCATGGGCCTCCTGAATGAGGTGCACGGCCCACGACCAGCCCATGGGGGCCACTCTGGCAACGAAGTGGATCATCTCCAAAGGGTCTGAAACACCAAGTTGCTGACGAGCTGCTGGGTCCAAGAAGCGTGCTTGAACCGCTGGCAGTCCGAAAAAGGCACGCGCCCAAGGCGGCAGCTCGTACTGATAGAAGCAGCACTCGACGTCGCCAGAGGCAACAGCAATCCCTCCAGCGGCGTCCACGTCCAAGTTCGCCAGGGCCTCCCCGCTCGCGAGCAGCGTGTAGGGCGGGTCCTGGAAATGGGCATTGGACCTTCGGGTGTCGAAGATCAGCCGCAGCGACGAGTCCTTCTTTGGGACGAAAAAGATGCCAGCGCGCTCGATGATGCTGCCCTCGACCGCGCGCTCGATGATGCCCGCGGAGAGCAGCTCGGAGAAGCACTCGCCAAACTGGTAGCCATGCTGCTGCAGCACGGGGTCCATGGCACAGACCCTGGGAGCCTCACCCAAAGCAAAATTGCGAGCCTCAGGCTCTCGTAACATCTGCGACGAATCAGACAAGAGAGACTGCAGGTGCGGCGGCAGCACGTCAACAAGCCGCACACGCCCGGCCGCAGCCCGCGGGAGCGCCATGGCCCCCTTCCTGTAGGTTGTCGAAGCACCTTCGGCCATGACGTCTGCATAGCCGTTCCGCGAAGCCTGGAGCGTCTGCCACGCCCCCAGGGGAGTCAAGTCGGATGGCGGTGGCTCCACCCTGCCGTAGAGCTGCGCGAGGCGCCGCACGGCGGCGACCTGGCAGGCAGCCAGGGCCCGCGCTGGAGCATTCTCACCGCGGCCGCCGAGGTCGTTCAGCGCGGCGATGCCCTCGCGCAGCCAGACCTCCTGATGCCGGCGCTGCCGCCCGCGCCGACCGCCGCCATGCGGCAGAAGGCGTGCCGCCGCCCCATGCAGCAGCTCGTCGAGCGTCGCGCCCAGCGGGAGGGGCAGGACGTCGCGCGCCATGCCAGTGTCCGAGACTCCTTGCGCCGAGGCCGCCATCACCACCGCAGTGGCGGCCCTCCCCTGAGAAAGCGCCCGCTGCCCGGAGGGCTGCAGCGGCCGCGCACAAGCCGAAAGTCAGGCGGCGGGCTAGGCCCGCCCGCGGCCGCGGCCGCCACGGCCTCGGCCGCCAGAGACGCCGCCGCCTGCGCCGCCGCCGCCACCACCTTGATCGCCACCTCCTGGTGCGGCGTCGGCGCCGCTGCTGCTCACACCGCGTGCCATGCGGCGCCCCTCTCTGCCCTTGCGCCTCTCTTTCACGATGGCGCTCTCCTCCTGCATCCTCTCTGCCACGTGCTTCTCCATGGACGGCGCCACCAGCGCGTGGCCCTTGGAGCGGGTGCCGCCCAGGAAGATCCGGCGCTCGTCCAGCCAGCCGTCAGCGTCTGACGTGGCCCCAGCGGTGCCTGAGACCTCGACTTGCCGCAGGGCCTCAGAGCACACCTCCCCCCACAGCTGGAAGCGCCTGGCCGCCAGCTCGAACGTCTCACACCCGGGGAGGTTGAGCTGGTCGGCCGCGGTGGCCGTCTCGATCAGCTCGCACAGGAACAAATGTTCGTCGACCCCGGGGTCGGCAGCAGCCAACCCCAAGATCTGTCGCCACCAGTAGTGTCGCTGGACGGGCCCGCTATCCTGCCCCAGGTGAGCCTGAAGCAGCCAGCCGATGGTAGCAGGCCCCTGCACGCGCCACTCCTGAGTGCTGAGCACCTCCCGCTGCTCGGCCACCACCTCCGCAAGGCGCGGCGACGCTGGCCCGTGCCGCTCCTCCGGTACCTCAGGATGCGCTCGTCCAGGATTTCATCCGGCGCGTCCCGCGGCGAGAGCGGCACCTCGTCGGAGAGGGCCCCTACCCGTCCCAGCGCGATGACCCCCTCCGGGAACGAGGCCATGGCACGATCGTCCTGGGCGTAGACGGTGGCATACGTCACGCCCACCGGCGCGCCCCGCCTGAAGCCCAGCCGCGCCTCGAGGGCGACCCAGCCGTCGCCCAGGCGCACCGGCGGCAGGGGCCCTCCGCCGGCGCCCGCGAGAGGCGGGGGGGCGTGAGCAGGCGGCTGCAGCGGCGGCTCCGCAGCGCCAGCGGCAAGGCTGACGTCGGAGCCCCGTGGCGTGTCCGTGCCACCGTCCGGCGCCGCGGGGAGGGCATGCTGCTTCCCTCGGAGCCGGCGGACGGGCGGCGGCGCCGGTGGCGCCGACTCGCGTGAGGCCTCGCGGCGTTCCGCCTCCGCCAGCCGAGCCCCCTCGTCCATGAGAGAGACTAAGCCCTGGTCGTCTAGGTCGAAGCGGTACAACATCTTCTTGCGCAGCTGCGGAGGCGCACCGCCGCGCGGCCCGGCGCGGTGGATCTCCACATGATCCTCGTCGGCAAAATCCTCGACGTACACGTCTCCGTCAGGCGTCGCCACCACCCAACGTGAGCCGCCCACGTGGGCGCAGAGAAGCCTCTCGTGGTACAACCTCTCCTCCAGGCTGTACAGGCAGTACAGCTTGTCCCCCAGGCGGGCTGTCCTCAGCAGGTCCGGCAGCGCGAGCGGGACCATGGCCATGAAGCCTGCCGGCGAGGTAGCCGATGATGAACGCGGCGAGCACCGCGAGGGTCACGACCGAGGCGACCTCCCAGAAGACCGAAGGGCACTCAGGCGGGGCGCTCCGCAGCTGCTCTGGTCCGCACCTGTCCAATTGGCGCTGCAAGATCTGGATCAGCTCTTTGTCGTGTTCCCCAGTGAAGGTGCACGTGCAATGGCACCCCTTATTGAGCGAGGTCCAGAGGTTGGCCGCGTACAGGCCAGTCGCAGCCCAATCGCGGACTGCAGGGGCGATGCCGAGCGCGATGCCTGCCATAACAAGCGAAGCTCTGAACAGAAGCGATGGCTTCACGGAGAGGTTCCCAGGAACATGATTTCGAACGGGGCCCTCTTGGGCCTCCCTGAGGCCGTCTTGGGGGCCTCCTGGGCCGGTTTCGGGGCCTCTGGGACCCTCTTGGGTCTCTCTTCGGCTGTGTTGGGGCGCCGCGGGGGCGTCTGGGGCACTGCGAAGACGAAGCCAGCGAGTATGCCGAAAATGCACGTGTTACAAAGGAAATGGGCCGATTGTTGCCCTCTTGGGGCCTCACGGGCCCTCTTGGGGCGCTCTTGGGCGTCTTCGGGGCCTCTTCAGGCTTTCGTGACCATCTGCACGGCCCGCGTAGCCTGTCGTGGGCAATTTGGAAGCGGCCCGGGGCAGTTCCCGGGGGGTCTGTGACCCCCCAAAAGTTCGGGGGGGGCCCATGGGGGATGACGGCACCGATTTTTGCCCCCCCCCTCCCCCCCCGCGCGTTTGGGCCGTCTTGGGCGCCTCTTGGGCCGTCCTGGGGCTCTTTTGGGCCGTCTTGGGGCCCTCGGGGGCGCCTCTTGGGCCGTCTTGGGGCGGTTTGGGGGACCTCTGATGTCGTCAAGAACTGTACGACAGCGAAAACAAACAATATGCTAAACATATACGTTTTGCGAAGGGAATGCGGCTATTTGTGGCTCTTGGGGACGTCCTGGGGGGCCTCTCGGGGGCTTCTTAGAGCGTCTGCGAGGCCTCTGGAGGTGTCTTGGGGGCCATCTTGGGCATCTTGGAGCGGCCTTTGGGTGTCTTGGGTCCGTCTGGGGGCGTTTTCGGGTTCTCCTGGCGCGTACCCGGGGCGTTTTGAGGGCCTCGGGGACGCCCAAAAGCCTGGGCACACACACATTTGCGGTCGTGGTCGCGGCCCCGGGCCACCGGACCCGGTGCGCCGTTATATGTATACATACATGACTCCCCCATCTCCACTCCGAGAGCCCCAAGAATCATCCCTGAGCGACAACAGCATTGAGCTCTGCTCCTCCATTGCTGGTCCGCCTTCCTCCTGCTCATAGTTCTCTTCCTCTTCCTCGTCTTGTTTCCCCTCCTTCTGCTCTTCTTCCTCGTGTTCCTGGTATTCCTGCTGCCGCTCCTGTTCCTCTCTCGTTTCCTCCCGCTCTCCTCTGGCTCTTCCTCCTACCATTCCTTTCTGGTGCTCCTGAGCGATCTCACAACGCTCCCCCCTTGGGTGATGGCGTTGGACTTCACGCATGGTTGAGCAATTGCGCGACAGACCTCTAATCAAGCCGGACAGCTCAGGAGCAACGCTAGACGAGCCTCTCACTGGCTGTGCCCCTGCGCATTCTGTTTTGTATTTCACGTTTTCGTCAATTCCCCCCCGGCCTCATGCGTTGTTGCATGTTCCACCGACTGCTCCAGTGAGCGGTTTCGCGCGCGGGCCTCCACCCGCGTCGGCACATACCCGACACGCATCGTGCCCAACAGGAAGCTCCACCTGCGGCCCCAGGTGGCATCCTCGCATTCGGCCCGCTTCGACATGTTCCTCGCACAGGTTGCTCCCCGTAGGGAACCCAGCGCGCCTCTGCGCGCCGGCTCCGCACTGCCCCGAACTCCATCGCTCCCGCGGCGTGCAGTGCATGAGGAGACGGCCACGCCCTGCGCCTCTGCTTGCACCAGCGGGCCGCTGGAGTGCTCAACCTTGGCGGCGCGCACCACGGGGGGTGCGTGGGGGGAGTGGCCTTCCAAGAAGGCGGCGCACTCCTTGGAAGGCAGAGGCCTTCTGAAAGGGCCTGGAGGCTTCTGAGGAGGCTTCTGAGAATCAGGGAGGGCTTCTAAGAAGGCCCCTGCCGTCCGAGAAGCTCTTCGCCTTCTTAGAAGGCCGCCCCCCTCGCGCTACCCCAACGTGCGCGCCGCAAACAACCGACCAGCCGCATCGGTCATCGCAGAATGCTGAGTCGCATTCGGGCAGGCGCGGCGGTTATGAAGCGCAAAGTCGCCCTGCGCTGCACGGAGCTGCAGAGGTTTGGGCCCTTCGCCAGGTGGTGAAAGTATTTGCTTCCGATTGTGACCCCAGGCGCGCGCAAGTGCCTCGCAGTTGCGCGGGGCAAACCAGTAATAATAACGGTGTGGCCAACCTGCGACAAGCGAGCCCACTCGCAGAATAGTGAGGCTACAAGCGGCACCATGCCAGAACCGCGGCGGTCCAGAATCGGCGCTGCATGCAACATTGAAGTGCACAGGGAAGCTGGATAGGGTGTAGGCTGAAACCTTAATGGGAAGCGGAAGTGACCAAGGCTGGAACAATTGGCCAGGGCTGGCACCAGCCCGAAACAGATGAGAGAAACGAATGCCACGCATGGAAAAGTGCAAGGGCCAGTACCGTCGACGCGATCCAGTTCTGTGCCCCTCCAATTCAGCATGCGCTTGATAACGATCCGAGCCCTAGAAGCGCTGATAAGATCCCACATGGCACCTGTTAAACTGACTCTAACCACTCACAACTTCGAAGCAGTGTTGCCTGTGGTGTCGATGCAGATCTTGCCGATGGCCTGGCGGTTCATCATGAGGTCCATCGCCTCTTTGAACCTTTCTAGTGGGTACACCTTTGGTGTCTTTGGCCGCAGTTTACCTGTCAACAGCATCGCAACGAGGTCGTTGATGTTTCTCCTGTTGGCGTCTGGATTCTTGAACTTCCATGTGCCCCAGAGGACTCCTTGTATTTGACGTTCATTCAGCAATGCCAAATTAATTGGGAACCTCGGGATTGCTCTGTCTGGCTGAGTGCCTCCCGACGCAAACCCGATCACCAAGAATCGACCACCGAATCCCAGGGCACGCATCGCAACCTCAGAATACTCGCCCCCGACTGGATCGTAAACAACGTCCAGAGGCCCGCCGGCGTCCTTCTTCAGCCTGCCCTTGAAACCTGGCTCGGAGTAGTCGATCAGCACATCAGCCCCTACTGCTGTTCAGGTGTTGCTGGAAGTGGCCCTGGCCCACGGTGGCCCCAGCTTTGCCAGGGAGGCGCAGATGGCTTTCAGAGCGGCCCTCACAAGACCCAGCGGGCTCCCGAGGCACCCGAATGGTACGCAAAGCTGGTAGCACCTTCGGCCAGGCCCACGGCAAGCAACACCCTAGCTTTGCACGCTGCAAGCTTCTCGGGCGAGGACGCACACGCAACGACGGTTGCCCCCATCGCCTTACCGAGCTCGATGGCGGCAATCCCGGTCGCGCCAGACGCCCCGAGGACACACAGCCTCTCCCCGGGCTGCAGCTTGGCGACGTCCCTGAGAGCGTGAATGGTTGTCCCGTAATTTGTCTCGAGACCTGCGAGAATGTGTGGATCGATCCCAGCCGGGGCCGGGTAGACCACACTCTCGTGGACATTAACCTCATCCCTCAGCGTGCCATTGACCGTCGCCGACCTGCCGAAGACGACGTCACCCGGCTTCAGCTGGCACCCTTCGCCCACAACCGTTACGGTACCACAGAACTCGTTGCAGGGGGTGAAGGGAGGCTCCATACTGAACACATGTTTGCCCAGCACGACCAGGATATCGGGAAAACACAAGCCAGCAGATGCGATCCGAACGACTAACTCTCCGGGGCTCGGCTTGCCCAGAGCAGGCACGTCTTCCAGCTTCAGGTTCTGATAAGGCCCCAGTTCGTGGCACATGACAGCCCTGGGCATGACGCAGGGTAGCTAAAGCAGCCTGAAAGCCGGCATGCGCTTGATCCCCGAATGGATTGAGCCTAAGCGGCTAGCTCATGCTTCGATTTTCTCGAAGTGAAGCACTGGTCGTAAGGCGAGCGGTTGGGGTGCAGGACGATGCAAGGGTGAACGCTATTGGCGTGCGCAACTCATGAGGGAGAAACATCGAGCTTGAATCGGCGATACATCACAGATAGATCGGCCACAGGCCCCGGATAGCGAATCCGCACGCTGCAATCGGGCCCCCATCGGCGATGAAAAGGCGATTGGGGGTCGATGCATACACCGCTGAGCATAGCCCCCCGTAGCGTTGCCCTGGAGTGCTGGGCGGAGATGCCAGACCCTCGAGAAATGGCAAAAACAATCGGCTGAAAATAAGCCGACGAAGCAAAGACTCAATGGCGCAGCAGGTTCTGACCTTCACGACGCGGACCCCTGGCCTCTGACACCAAGTGAAGCGCTCAGCCTTGGATGATACCCGCTCCAAAAAAAAACTTACAAAGCTCCCGAGGCAGAGGACACCTAATTTCGCGAATCGCGCCCTGCGATGTGCGACGCGCGGTTATCCTCGCGCCCTCGCGCCGACCCCTCTGGAGAAAAGGGCAATCGCGCTGGCCCAGGCCGCGACGCGCGCAGCGCGTGAATCTTCGCGCCCTGGCAGGTGAGCCTGCACCAATGAAACAAAAAGGTGCTGATACCGCCACTCCCTGGGCCTCTCCCGGGGTGCGCTCTGACCAAGAATCCGAGGCGAATCCAGCCGTGACGACGGTGGCATCCCAGAAGGCCCCAGAAAGACAAAACCTCTACTGTGGATCTCGCGCCGTGGGCTTCCCACGTCGCGAGACATGACGACGCAATCGGCCCCTTTCTTGCACGTGTCAGTTGGGCCGCCGCACTCAATGGCAACGCCACCGGCTGTTCAGGTACTCGTGAAATCGATTGTCCGCATCGTTCCCTTCAAGCCTCTGTGCGTAGTCGCCGACGGAGTCTGATGCCACTGCACCCGCAGTTGTGCTGGCGTCGATCAATAGGTCGATGTGGAACTTGTGCGTAATGTTGCTCAGCTTGGCAGAGAAAGTGTCGGCTTGGCTTCGACCCACTCAGGGCGCTCAGCATGCGCTACCGCAATCGCCCTCGCAAGTCCTGGCACTGGTATGCGCACTATCAGTAGCCTCGGGTTCTGGTACAGCATCTTGGCGCGGTTGGCTTGCAGGCGCCTTTCCACCTGGTGCCCGATTAAACATTACAGGTCGGTGCTGATAGGGAGGGAGATCTCGAGGACGGGGCTGTCGCGCCCACTCGGAATGGCGTGGAAGCCGCGCATTGGCGCCGTTCCCCTCGGCAGCCTTGGTCCCTGTACGCCGATCAGGTGGATCTGCATGTCCCTGAGCTGGTGTCTGATCGCCTCGATCCCGACAGTCTTGCAGCGCTGCCCATAGCCAGAACGCGTCGGCCACTTCAAGCTGCGAACGTCGAGGGTGGCTGTCGCGATGTCGGCGCTGGTATTGCTGCTGTTCTGGTCGCAGGGTGGTTTAAAGTGCCCAGGCGCTGCGGCCTCCGGGGGCGCTGTCGCTTGTAGCCCGTTCGGGTCGGGGTCGTCACGTCTGCTTTGTCGCTCAGCGACCAAGTCTGCAAGCTCGTTCCACGGGCGGCCTGCAGGGAGCATGGTCGGTATGTAGGTTGGTTGGCGGCGCTGCTTGGTTATGGCTGACAAGTCATGCTCGTCCTCTGTGTCGCCCTTCTGAAGGATCCTTTGCCACCTTCGAATCAGCGTGAACAGCTGCCGGGGCATTGTCGCACGCATCCTGCCGGGGGTAGATCCAGGCGCATGCACAGATGAGAGATGCCAGTTCTGACGTAGTGGATGCGGCCTTGCCGTCGTCGCCGGTTAACGTAGCAGAAGAAGTTGTGGCCGCCATCGTGCCCAGGTATGCGAAGCCTTCGTCGTCTTCGGTCGCGAGTGCCACGGCCCATGCGTCCCTGGTTGAGTCGGCTTCGCGCGCCCCGTCCGCGCAGAGGTGAATTTGTCCAGCTCATCCCGTCCGCGGCGGTGGCGCAAAATCAAACGCCATGATAGCAGATGGGTGAAATCGCTCTGTTTCCCGTAGGCCTGGGGATTGGGTGGCGAGACGCGGTAAGGAGGTGCGTCGTGGGACTTTAGCGATCAGCTTTGTCGCATAGACAATCGGACGAACCGCGGGCGTAGTCTGCCGCCGTTGGGAGTGGCTTTCCTTCTGGGCCCCCTCTCGCATGGAGCAGGGTTGGTCAGCAGTTGGGCCTCGTCCGAATTGGACCTGAATAGTTTAAGCCTGCTGTGCGCTTGCTGCATGTGCTCCTGGCGTAGAGCCGGGGATGCTGTCGGCGCCGTAGCTGTGACCTGCAGTCGCCCCCGCGGCCCGGGTGTCAAGCTGTCCTGGAGGTCGGAGTGGGCGCCACCCCTCATCCTGCATTCCCTCTCTTCGGACCAGTTGTTCTTGACTCTAGCTCCTGCTCTTTCGGGATTGTCGGTGCTCTTTGGGGCTCCGCGGCTACTGGTGAGTTCGTGAATCGCCGCGCGTTCACTTCGTCGTCTCCGTTGCTGCCACCCTGAACGCGGAGGGCGCTACTGGGCAGTGCACTCCGCCTGAACGGCGCCAAAGCAGGTCCCCTGGCAGCGGCTGGGCCGCGAAGCGCTGCTATTTGAATCATGCCGATAGGTCGCGTCGAGTGAAATGTCTGAAAATTGCGCACCGCTCTCGGCGCGGCGGACAGGTCTGGGCGCGCGCCTTCTGTGCGCGGTGCTCCAGACGCACCATCGGCAGCGTGAGCTGCGTGATCTCACGCTGCCATGCGTCTGTCAGCACGCAGATGAGGAGAAAGCACCAGCGCGGTGCGCAGTCATCGCTGGATGGCGCACCCGCGGGGCACGGGACGATCTGCGTCGGTTCGACGGGGTCGATGGTTGCCCTCCTCATCCTCCTAGCGCTCGAACTTCTCGCAGTAGGCGCCGCGTGCTTCCGTTCAGGCGGCAGGGGCGCCCCTCCTCCCAGCGCGCCGATGGAAATCATGCGAGGAGTTGACGCCTGCGGGGCCATCTCCCAAGCAATCTTCAGGCCGTTGCACCACCGCACCTGTGGCGATGGTGCATCCAAGGCCACTTCGTCGATAGCTTTCCGCCCCTGCCGCGGAACTAGCGATGCCAAGTCAGTCTCTGCGTCGGTGCCCAGATGTCAGTCATGTTGTCCTGGCGGCATCGAGCTAGGTGTCCACGCGCAGGGCGTAGCTGGCTATGGCGCGTCACATTGCTGGCTACCCAGTGGCAAGCCGGCACCTTCTCGGATCGTCTCCCAATGGAAGAATGCTGCGCTTCGGGGCCGTCGGATGGAACTGGCGCCGCTGGTGGTGCTGCAACGGCGACGGACAGCGGCGAAGGGCGGCGACGAGCGGCGACGGCTGCAACAAGCCGGCCGGACCGACAGCCAGGCCCAGTTCCCTATGGCCAACGTGAGAGCCCCCAAGTGCAAGCACTGCTTGGGGTATACATATATGTAATATATATATATATATATATATATTGAGAGATAAATAGATACGCAAATGAAACGAATAACAAAAAAACAAAACAACAAACTCCTAAGGCTCAGGAAGATGGGTTTCCCGGGCCGTGGACATGGGTACACGTCGATCGAAGGAAGCAGGCGGAAACATGAAGTAAGAAGACGTTGGACGAATATTGGGTTTCCGCCCGCGCCCTGAACCAGGGGGGAAGAAGGAAAACCACTCGATTATTGAAGTAGGAAGGCGCCCAAAGTAGAATGGAATGTGAAACCCAAGAGTGCCCACCCTCAGCGACCGATGGACAGAGCCCCGCCTCGGAGCCTCGGCCTCCAAATGACCCCTGGGAGGCCATGCGAAGCCCGCGCAAGCCCGCGCGGGGCCCGCGATGACCGCGAGGAACCAGGCAGGAAAACGACGCGCGACCGCGGGCACGTCCTCCTCCTCCTCCTCCTCCTCCTCCTCCTCCTCCTCCGCCTCCGCCTCCTCCTCCTCCCCGGGCCCACGCGAGGACCGCGAGTGAGGGGCAATGACAGAAAAACGAAGAGGTCCTTTGAGGAATCAACGGTCGAAGGGAATGGAGAGTCGATCGAAGATCTACAAGGAATCCTAACTTCGCGCTTCGCGCTGCGCGAAGCGCGAAGCGCGAACAACTTCGCGCTCTCGCGCCGCCCCCAAAGGGGAGAAGAGGAGGACGAGGAGGAGGGGGAGGAGGAATGAGGCCCGCGAAGCGCGAAGCACGACTAACTTCGCGCCCTCGTGGGAGCCCTTGGATCTAGAATCGTTGGCGTCGCGCCCGCGCCCGTTTCTGAGTCGAGGGTCAACGTGAAAGCGGAAACAGCTCAGGGAGGGAACATCGAGCTGGTATCGGCGAGACGTCGCCGATTGACCAACGATACGCCCCCGATAGCGAAACCGCACGCTCCTGGGTGGGGTGGCCTACGCATCAGGCCCCCTAGGCGATCAATGGGCGAACGGATGGTCGATGCGCCCCCCCTCCTGAGCCTATCACCCGCCCTTAACGTTGTCCCTGAAGCCCGCGGAGGCCCCCGCGACGCTTGCGATGGCCGCGACGACACCCAAGCGAGAGCCCCTTTCCCAAGCACGGCGCACTGGTGCGCGACCGCCGGCGGGGACCCCCGGTCGGCCCGCGGCCATTCGCGAGGTCACCCTCACTCGGCGGGCGGCTCGGGGAAGGGCGGCGCCTCCTGCGACGACGGCTGGCGGCGCGGCGGCGTCGGGGCGGCGTCGGGGCGGGCTGTAGGCGAGGTCAGCGAGCGAGCGGGCGCGGCGCCAGGGCGAGAGACGAGCGGGGCGAGACCCGAACCCCAACCCGAACCCAACCCTGACCATGATCCTAACCTTCTAATCCGACGCTCTCACATAAGCACACCCCGCCGCGGCCAGTCAACATCCGACCCCAAACAGACCCCGACCCGCGATTCTTTTCCTCTCCGCTGCAAGAAGTGGGACGCGGTGCACATCGGCTGATCGTAACAGCATGTCAGATTGAGTCGAATCAATAGTCCTAATTGTATGGCATGGACGTTTCTGGTCTTCACACTTCCCCTACCTATACGATCCAGTCCTTTTCTTTCTTTTACAAAGTTTGGGGTGTGCATATGATGATGCCAAACCAAAAGTTACAAAACAAACGATTCTGCGCACTTATGTTGACGTCCATATTCACGACTCTTTTGCGAAATAATGCCAATCGGTGCACATAGGCTGACCGACAGGAGGACAAAATAACGATCCCTCGCAAAAAAAGGTGAAGCCCGGCTGACCTGCACAACGGCCCAACCTTCACAATCACATTCAAAAAAGCAACTCGATGCATATATTTTCGTACTGAGATCCACCCAACGCCCACGACCAATTGCAGCAGGTAAACACTGAATAATCCTCACACCGCGCGCCCATGTCTCCAAAACTCCCACGCGCTCCTAGTTGTTCCCGGAACCCCGAATCGCTCCACACCCGTTTCCAAGCTAGCTAGCCGACGCCACAAACAGCAGCATCATCCATATCCGCATTTACGTCGCCGCAGGAGGCGTCAAGAAGCACATGCATCAGATCATTTCGACGCGTTCAGATGGTTGAGGAGGCCGACCTTATGGGAAGGGATAGAAGAAGGACGCCGGCACACCCCAAGACCATCCCGAGACGGCCCGAAAGTGCTCGGAGGATGTAGAAGAATCAGGACCGCGTTCAAGTGATAAGGGGCAGGTCGATCTCATCATCATTATCATTATCATCATCATTATCATTATCATTATCATGATCATTATCATTATCATTATCATCATCATCAGCAGCAGCATCATCAGCATCATCATCATCATCATCAGTATCATCTGCATCATCATCATCCTCATCATCATCATCAGCATCAGCAGCATCATCATCATCATCATCATAGTCATAATCAGAATCAGCATCATGATCATCGTCATCACCACCACCACCAACACCACCACCATCATCATCGTCTTCATCATCATCGTCGTCATCATCATCATCATGAGCAGCAGAATGATCATCGTCATCGTAATCATGATCATCATCATCATCATCATCATCATCCTCATCATCATCATATTCATCAGCATCATCGTCATCATCATCAGCATCATCATCATCATCACCAGTATCATCCTCATCATTACCATCATCATCCTCATCATTATCACCACCACCGTCATCATCATCATCATCATCATCATCATCATCATCAGCATCATCATCACCATCATCATCATCATCATCATCATCGACCCTATCGACACCATCGACCCATCGGCATCCTCATCATCATCATCGTCATCAAAATCATCATCAGCAGCAGCACAGTCATCATCATCATCATCATGATCATCATCATCAGCATCAACATCATCATCATCAGCATCATCATCTGCATCATCGTCATCAGCATCATCATCATCATCAGCATCAGCATCAGCATCTGCATCAGCAGCATCAGCATCAGCATCAGCAGCATCAGCATCAGTATCAGCATCAGCAGCATCAGCATCATCATCATCAGCATCAGCATCAGCATCAGCATCAGCATAATCATCGTCATCATCATCATCATCATCATCATCAGCATCATCAGCATCATCATCATCATCATCATCATCAGCATCATCATCATCATCATCATCATCATCATCATCATCATCATCATCATCATCATCATCATCATCCAGTGGAGGGCGCTGGCGGCTAGATGGGGCGTTTCCCCCGGCGGCAGCGGCACGGCGAAGGCGTTGAGCTGCATGGAGATCTGCGAGTACACCCCCATAGTCAGCACGAGGTCTACCAGGGCGCGTTCCTGGGAGAATCGAGACGCTCTAAGTTGTTGCCCCTGTTCGGTCCTTCGGAAGCCTCCAGGCACTTCTGGAGACTTCCAGAGACCTTCGGGAGCCTATGGGAGCCTTGGCCAGCACGAGGCCTGTCAGGGCGCGCTCCTGGGAGGATCGAGAGGATCGAGGACTGAGGCTCGAGAGTCGAGGATAGAGACCCTTCGGAAACCTGTGGGTTCGAGGATTGAAGCCGTCGAGCCTTCGATGGCCTTCGAAAACCCCATGTCGGGTCTTTTCGGAAGCCTCCGGAGATCCCCGGGGGTCTCTGGAGGGCTCAGCTGGCGGCGTGGAGATCCCACCAGCCCTTTAGGGCGCGAGTGGTTTAGAGCGTTTCCTCTTCCAACCCCCCTACTTCCCCTTCGGGGAGGGGTTTCCCACTCGCGTCCCCTCCCCTGGACCTGGACGGAGGGCGTTCGCGATCGAGGGGGGCGTCCGAGAACGCCTCGGCGAGAAGGCAAAGATCACGGGTTGTACTTAAATTGTTTGGGGCCCAGTTCGGCCTCCTGGGAAGGGGGGGAGGCGACGCTCATTTAGCACACCTCATTATTTGATCGATCTCTTCCTAGATGGCCCCAGGATGGCCCCCAATGCTCCGAGAGGGCCCAAAGAAACTTAAAGGGGGCTGGTAAGCCCAGCCAGCAGCTTCGCCTCAGGCGAAGCCACGCTCCAACTCTGCTGTACCGTAATAACGATAGTCCCTGTATGAGAGGAGATGCCATCTCAAGCAATAGGAACATCCTTTTGGTCTCGATAGCGACTGTGCGCCTCGCAGTGATGCACAGTCAAATTTGGGCGGCCGGCCGCTTGAGCCGACGCGGCCGCGGGCGCACGCTCGCTTCCACTCCTTACGTCCCTCAGCTCGCTTTAGAGTCGGGGGGGGGGAGGGAGACGAAGCGTGAGCCCGTCGCCCCCATACAGCAGGCATAACGGCTAACCTACACAAGGACAGAAAAGGAAGCGGGCCTAAAGGAAGGTGGACCCGCTAGCAAGTCGCCTCGCATGTATGTGACGCACTCATCAGGCGGCGTCAGAACTTGATGTCTGGCCGGTCCGATATGGAGTATGTAAATTCAGGTCATGTTTGAAGGTCTGTATACATTCCATGACTTGTAGGAGCCTTTCTCTGTCGATGCTCCCCTTGGTGTGGCCATCCGCAGTCATATCGCGGGTATCACACCACTGAATGCTGTGCACGATCCCACGCTCCATCATCTGTCGTATCCAACTGATGTGCCCTAAAAGGGTAGACTCAGTCGGCTTCTTCAAATATTTGCTTGACAAGGACTTAAAAACAGATGCAGCATCAATGGTCAAAGTGACCTTGATGCTCAGGACACCCAACTCAAGCATATATTTCAACTGAGCGGGCGCGAGCGGCCCCGCGTGGAGCTCGCGCAGAGTCACAATCGTGGGGTAACAGTTCTCCAAATCATGGGCTGCTGCTAGTGTCTCCGCTGAATAACTCGAGCGGACCTGCAAGCGGTGAGACATGCAGTACGCATCAATCAAGTGAACGAAAAGCTTACCAGAGAACGTGCTTCCACGTCGTAGCAGGTTTGCCCCGCGAATACCATTGCCTTTGACGTCGTCATCGGCGTCTCCACTCAGGCGTCGATATCCTGGGTCGCTATGTAAGTCGACCTCGCCCGTGGGGTTCATCGCCTGGTAGACGATCTTCTTCGGGCAGGCCTGTGGCTTTCTGGTGATCGCGCTCAGTCCTCGCACTTGAATGTTCGTCGGTTCTTGGACACGTTGTAGAGATGCAACATACACCGTTAACCACACCTGGGTGAATAGTGCGCATGCCAGCGCACCCCTGAGGCTAACGAACATGTCTGCCACCATCTTGGTTGCTTGAGCGTCAGCGTCGGCGCCGGTTAGTTCGGGATGGTGTATAGGACGGAGCTGTTTGACATATTCATATTGATCCAAAGAGGCATTGCCGCCCTCGTCCTCGGTGTATCTCACAGCACAGTTGGTATATGTGTGCTTGTTGAGTTTACATTTACCAAAGGTATCTTCAACGCATTTGACATATTTGTCAATGGTGTCCTCAGTACCGGCCATATGTCATCAACATGCTTGGCCGTGAACAAGTTGTTGTTCGTCTCGAACTCCTCTTCGTAGGACGTGGGTCGAAGGCAAAATCCCCTGGTGGTCTTCAGTGCCTGCGCCCGGTTTTAAGCATTGTAGGCAATGCTTTGACTCGTCGTAGCGCTCGAATCCTGGAAGAGCCGGGAGCACAGCGGCCGATTCAGGCGGCAAAGCGAAACACACCACACGTTCCTTTTCACCAGTAGCCTCAGCAAGTTCCTGATAGGTCAATCCCTTCAGGAAGCGAGGGAAGCAATGATCCACTGCTTCTTGCACGCTGCCGTGCTAGCGAGCAACCTCTGGCTTGACCGTCTTGCTGTTCCCGAGAATGTTTCCACGTCAAAAGCTTCAAGGTCCATGAAGCCTCGGAAGACCAAGCGCAGTCGGGTGGCACGTTTCATCTCGCCCTTCTCCTTCTTCACGAACTGAAATTTGCACACGTATCTCGAAGTCATGATGTTCGACGCTTTGGCTATCTCCTGCATCTTGAAGCACGCGTTGTCGAACGATGTCTTGAGCTCAGTGCAGAGGGCCTTCGATAATTTATCGGGATTCGCCTGGACGTCAGCTTTAGCGAGGAAGTCGTCTTCCTTGGCGACCACAGCTCGCTTTGCAGCGGCGGCAACGTATACTCGCATAGTGGCCACCCGGTCGGCGTCCAATATCATGCGTTGTTGCTCGGACAAGACTACCTTTGACATTTCTGTCGTAAAACATAGTTCGACGCATCGACCATTTTCGTCTGAGTCGAGTCCGTAGCTGTCGTCTTCGACCATGGTGCACATGGGGGCGTAGTACGTCTCCTCGGCATCGGAGTCGCGAGTGCGCCCCCACTTAGGCAGGTGCCCCCGCTGTTCATCAGTTACTGTGATCAGCACGCTTTGATCTGGAACCATCTGTGTAGGCATGGTAAAAAGGTCCCCTGGTGGAGTTGCCTCCAACAGTTCCCTTTCCACTTGTAGTTCTGCGTACCACACCTCCATAACATGCGACTCAAGATCAGCCTCTGATTCTCCGTAAATCGTAGAGAGCCGTCCGTCATCATGTGCTGGTTCGGCTCCTGAGACTTCACTTGCGGTTCCATCCAGTGTCCGCGTACCTGCCAATTCCTCCAATTCTGACATGTCCTGATCAAAACCTCTGAAACGGCATTCTCAATGCGAAAGAAGTTTCTGATGAGGTACTGTAGAGCCAAGTGTACCTTAGGAGATAAACGGCTTGCGGTCGCCATCTAAAGCGCCCCTATCTTGGTCGGCACATAGCCACAGGTCAAAGCAGGCCTCCCCGCTGATAGGCTGGCTACGAATGCTAACACTGCGCGTTGCGCAGTGTTGTCGGAGCCAAATTCTCGGGCCATGAGTGCTTCAATGTATAATGAATGCCTTGCATCGCCGCATTGTACTTGAACATCTCCATTGCCCACTCGGATGATGACCTGACCCCTTTCGGGATCATTCTGTACAACTGGGAACGGGCCATTCCAGCCTCCCCAGTCATCCTTCGCGGTCGCAGGGCGATGGTAGTCGACCAAGTCTCCTTCGTCATAATAGTGCTGACCAGTAATTGTCGTCTTAGTGCGTAAGGCACGAGTGGTCTTAGCTACTGCTGTGGCCTGTGTGATAGCTTCAATACATGCCCTGCGCATCGTCCGTTCACGAGAATGATCCGACGTTTCCGTCGGCTGCTCGTGCTCCAGAACAGGGAGGTCAGGAAGCATTGCTGGTTACCGTCCAAATAGAGCGCTGCATGGAGACACCTCGTCATAGAATGTGAACGCACTGGCGGCGAACAAGGCTTCGTGCAGTAGTCGGGTGAACACAAGAGGTATGTCTATCCTATTGGGTTCAGCCTCCATGACATGAAGTAGATGGCGTAGGATGCCATTTCTGGCCTCGATCGTTGCAGCGTGCTGTCCACGCGCACGTATCCCAAGTTCAGTGCCTTTTGCCGTGAGGACTGCTTTCGCAGTGTCGTTGTGAAGGGCACCCTCTCCATCAGAGTAAAGAACCTTGGCCGGTCCAAAATGCATCCAGCACTGATGATATGCATCCATGATACTGGTCATAGTCTTGTCTGGTATTTCAACCCAGTAGCATACCGTATACAGCGATCGATAATGTGGAATAGATTGTGTTCTTGTTTGTAGAACATCAAATCACATTCCACTTCCTCATTGAATTCACCAGGTAATGCAATAGATGGCATAACAGTGTGTCCAGGCTTGTCCCAAGTTCTGCATTCTCGGCATGTGTCGCAGACACCTTTGATGAGGTTGAGTCTGACACTGTCCAGACCTCTTTTGCTTAAGATGAGTCTAGTGTTAGGCTCCTTCGCATGGAACCAACGCAAGTGTAACTTTCGCAACTCGCGTGTTACCACGCTAGGTTCGAGGCTTCGTAGGTTTTGTAGACTAATTTGTACATCGAACCGTGACCAGTCTGGTAGTCGTGGTCGCGCAGCAGGGTTCCCCGCTGGTGGTGGTGGAGGTGCTTCTCCACCTTGTTGTCGACCACGTCTGAAACTAACCTGTGGTAGTCGGAGATGGCCATCCGAACTACCAGCTCCACTCGAGGCAGGTTGCCCTGCAGCAGGCTCAGCAACATGTCTTCCAACAGTAATGTCGTGACTGATTGCACCCGCGGTGGGTCCGGCTCTCGAGCCGGGCCTCGGTGCTCTTAGTCGCGCAAATGGCGATGCTGCTGGCGCCTCGGGCGGTGGTGCTGCTACCTCAGCAAGATCTGGCGGTGCAGGTCCTGCTGCCGGCTCGGCGGGAGTCGGCGGCATCTGTCCATGATTGTCGGGCCACTTCCAAGGCTTGCCAGACTTGCGATTGCCAGCTGTTAGTACGTGCCCAGGCTTGTTCTTCCCGTTGTTC